CAGTGTCAAGCTGATCAGAACTGTATGAAGAGCCAGTTTTGGTGGCAAATGCCGGGGTGGGGGTGGAGAGAGAGAGAAAAGGGAGGTATCTGCATGCTCAGGGGGGACCCCAAGATTTGCAGTGGTTAGAGTGTTGGAGTAAGACCTGGGAGAGCAGGGTTCAAATCTCCACCTGGCAAAGAAGCGCACTGGGTGTGACCTTGGGGCCAGTCACTGCATCTCAGCTTAAACTACATCACAGGATTGTTGCGGGGATAAAAAGAGAGGGAGGACCACAAATGTCATCTTGATCTCACTGGGGGGGGGATATAAGTTCAATAAATACACAAGTGCAAGACATGTTTTTTAAAGGAAGCCCCAAGGGGCAACCTTCGTCCCAAATAGCTCAGTACAAGGCAGTAAACTTAGCAGCCAAGGGATGTTGAATTTCAGTTGTAAAGGAAAAAATGTGGTGGGGGAAAAGAGCAGAATGGAGTGTACTGGAAGAGGGCAAAACTGGCTTTCTAGAACAGTGAGTAGCAGCACCTTGGTGAAGGATAAAACTGCATGATTTTGTTGCAGATCTCACTTGTCTGCATTAAAATATGGCCAGGTGATAACGTCCATTTCGCCAGTGCTTATATTAAAAGAACGTAGATTAATTGCCTCCGCAAACCTGATATTTGGCAGGATTGCAGCTATTGGAAAAGAGTCTTCTATCTTTTATTTTTTGAGGAGGTGGGAGGAAAGGGGTGAATTGACAAGAGGCCTTAAAAGAAAAACCCATTTTTTATGAAATTGGAATGACATTGTATATGGCAATGGCTAGTGTAGCACGTGCCTTTGGTTTGGAAAAAAAAACTTTGGATCTAATTCATCTTTCTGTGTCATTGCTCCATTTGCAGTACTTACAGATGGTGCAACAGAGTAAAAATTGGGGGTTAAATTAATCTGTGGCAGAGAAGATTGGCATTTGGCATGGGGTGGGTGGGGAACAAAAGCACAGTTCCTGCCTCCCCAAGGATTGAGGAAAGCAGTTATGGCCTGGCTGAACTGATTTCAAAATCCAATTTGAGGCTCTCCCAATGTGCTGGCTGGGAATTGTACTCCAAAACATCCGGAGGGCACCACGTTGGTAAAGTTCAGTATGTTTTGTTCAGGAACATTCCCCGTCCATTGATGGGACCCACAAATGGTGTGTGAGGCCCTAACTCAGTGCTGGGTCAATTGGATGGGGTTGCCCGGAAGGCCCATTTCCTCCAGGCCAAGTGACTGAAGACATCTCAAAGAAGAAAACCACTTTCTTCAAGTCTTCCCCTCCTCTTGTGCCTTTCCTGGCTCTGGAGGGAGGGAGGGAGAAGCAGGAGGGGGTCTGGGACTGCAAGATATTTGGCTTTTATCCCCTGTCTGTTTGTTTTCCTTGTAAGTGAGAGCTTTCATCTTTTATTGTTATGAAGTTAAAGGCTGGCTTGGAGGTGCCGGTCTTTAGTGGAAACAGCTGCCTGCTGCAGTCCCTCGATGTCCCCTCGGTCAGGTGGGAGGCCCTTCTGGAGCAGCGCCTTGCCCTCTTAAAAGGAAATTGAGCGTGCAGCTCCCCAAAAGGGCAAAAGCCATCGGCTGGTGTGGCTTTTTGCCTCTTTGCTGGTCCCTTTGTACAGTACCGTCCATAACCAAACTGGCACTTGGCCGTTTCACCTCTAGGGACTTCACTTGGATGAGACTCATTTGTTCCAGCAGCATTTGTGTCTAGGAAAACCCCCAGTGGGGTTGGACACACACAGCTTCGAAAGATTGACTCAAACTCCCCTTTGCTTTCTTGGCGACATTAAGGAGATGACAGCAGAACCACAACAACCTCCTGGTTGGATGAAGAGTCCACAGCAACAGTTTCATAGATCTTAATTCTTGCTTGTGCTTCGAATTTGGTGTGTGTGTCTGTTGAATTGCAGGCCAAAATTGTCCTGGATAGAAATTATTTGAACTGAGCAGCTGGTTGGGCAGACAGGGGAGGGGGAAACATTTGCTGCATTTTCTTCTCAATAAAGACTGGCAGTGCCCTCCATTATAACCTTGGCATGTGACATCAGTCTTTACGGCCCTCCAGGTTGCAGTGGAAAGCTGGATAGGACATTCTTGAAAATCTACCAAAGTTGCCTGACCCTCACAGCCTCTGCCCCAGAGCTGTGGGGCCATTCCCATAAGAAGCTGCCCCTTTATTGGATCCAGCACATCTTCCTCACCCGATCCAGCCTTCACCAACCCTGTGCCCTTGTAGATGTTGCTGGGCTACAGCTCTCATCAGCCCCACCCAACACAGCCCATGGTCAAGGATTTTATTTAGACGATAACTTGCTCTGAATCTATTCATGGAGGATAAGGTTATCAGTGGCTACTAGCCATGATGTCTGTGTTCTGCAGGCTCTTATGTTCACTCCTAACTCATCTGGAGGGCACCAGTACTTAGAATGATCTAGTTGTCCCCTCCCCCAAGCTCTGCGGTTATCGTATTCTGGGCAATCATCGGACATTGGTTTTTCCCTAACAGGATGGAAAATGGTAACAGAAGCAACTGTTTAAAGGTTGGCGTTCGCGTGATGCACAGTCCATCTCCCATGTAAACCATTTCTCATTGATTAGCTAACTTGTTTAAGTTGGCAGAGGGGGAGAGAGAGAAGCCATCCTTGAGCAGGAAGTCTAAGCCTGGACCGCAGCATGACTTGCTGAGCTGGACAGTTTGAGCGAACGCCCATCTCATCAGTCCCCCCCCTTCCCCAAGTTCTGCGTGTTGAAATAATTATTTTCTCTAAACAGCCTGATTTCCAGCAGTGGTACTCGAGAAAGAAAGGAAAGGCAGTGTGTAGCAAAGGAAGGAGTTTGTTTGAGCCTCGGGTCAAGGAGGCCAGTTTGTGCTTTTGATGGATCTGTGCAGATGGTAATTTGGGTTTAATAGCATAAACACCCTCTCCACACACACCCCAACACCAGCTCTTCCATGGGGAAGCTGGAGTAGGGTGGGGAGACATCGGTTGTTGCTAATAGTCATTTGTGCCTTGATGCCTGCTTGACTACAAACTCCAGGTGCGCCCTGCCGCCCCCCTGGGCATCATTTTAAAATTTATTTTCTAATTTTAAAATTACAAACCCACAAAAAACATGCTTCTAGCTGTGTGGTAACGCTGGTTGCAGTATCCAATCACACCAGTCAAAATGTTCTGTAATGTGAGGAAGGCGATGACTATGCTCTGGCTCCATGGTTGGAAGCAGCAATGCTGCTGCTGGAAACTACAGGAGGGGAGAGTGCTCTTGTGCTCGAATCCTGCTTACGGGTTTCCCTTTGGGGCAGCCTTTCTCAACCTGTGGGTTCCCAGATGTTGTTGAACTACAACTCCCATCACCCCTAGCTAGCAAGGGGACCTACAGGTTGAGAACCGCTGCTTTGGGGCATCTGGTGAAAATGTCATGCTGGACTGCCTGACCCAGCAGGGCTTTCCTTAATAATCTTTATGGTGGACAATATCCTGTCATCTCTTCTATCTTGCCAGGAATCAGCTTGCAGTATCTCACAATCCTGGGGCACACCATCTAAATATGATTTCAGATCTTGTCTGCCCTGTGCTCCGCTGCCAAGATAAACAAATGAGTTCCCGTAATAGATTCAGCTTAACCTAAGCTGTGTAAGATACCATCTAAATAAAATCTCAGGAAGAACTTCCTGCAAAAATACACACACTGTATTGTATATTCTTCCAAATCCAAATCTATGACTTACGTTGACATATAAATGGAGCTTGGGACTCTACTGCAGGAGGGGGTGCCAGTGCTTAGCCTCAGGACGTGACAGTGTTCCAGAGCATGGGCAGAGTGTGCTTGCTTTACAGCTGCCATGAACAATAAACCAGCCATGTCGGTTTGGGGCCTTGCACGCTCAATTTCCTTTTAAGAGGGCAAGGCGCTGCTCCAGAAGGGCCTCCCACCTGACCGAGGGGACATCGAGGGACTGCAGCAGGCAGCTGTTTCCACTAAAGACCGGCACCTCCAGGCCAGCCTTTAACTTCATAACAATAAAAGATGAAAGCTCTCACTTACAAGGAAAACAAGCAGACAGGGAATAAAAGCAGAGCAGAGGGCCCCCCTTTGGTTCCCACCTTCCCAAGCCACGATGAGCACTAGAGGACGGGGAGACCGCAAAGGAAGCAATTTTCCTCCAAGACGGCTCCGGGCCACTTGACTTGGGAATAAACTGGCCTTCCAGGCGACCCCATCCTGTTGACGCAGGGCTGAGTTAGTGTCCCACAGAACATTTTGGGGGCCCATCAATATCTGGAGAACATTTTTGAAGGCCGTCCGCTGCCTCCACATTTAAATCCAGAGCGAGACGTACCGGGCTTGCCAGGGACCGCAGCTCAGGGCTGAAGGAGCACATGCTGTGTGTGTAGAAGGTCCCATGGCTCAGTCTTGGGTAGAAGGCCTGGGGAAGCCTTTGGCAAGCAGAGCAAGCACTGGGCTCGCTTGGCCAATGGCCCAATTCGGCATCAGGCATCCCTAGGAGGCCTGTAGCAAAACGGTAGGCACTCCTGCTTTGCATGTGAAATGTCAGTTAAAGTCCCTGCCGTCTTTGCTAGTAGAAGCTAATAAGCCTTTTCCTTCTGTTGCTGTGCTTTTGTGCACTTTTTTAAAAAAAGAAAGAAAGGGAGAGGTAGTGATGGCCACCAGCTTGGAGAATTGGGCAGATTCTGGAAGATTAAGGCTATTGATGGTTACTAGACACAATGGCTATGCTCTACAGCTGGAGGCATCAGTGGAAACCATGGGAGAGGAGAGGGCTCTTGCATTTGGGTCTTGCTTGTGGGTTTCCTACTAGAGCATCTGGTTGGCCACTCTGAGAACGGGGTGCTGGACTAGATGGGCTATTGGCCTTATCCAGCAGCATCTTCTTATGCCCTGTAACGAATAGTATTGTTTCCTTGTGGGCATGTGGGGAGGCCTGGCAGGCTCCGCTAACTCTTTCTTTCCTCTTGCAGGTGCTGGCTTTGGGTTGGGTGTCGTCTTCTCGGTCATCTTCTTCAAAAGTAAGTGATGGGTAGCTGCCAGGTGAATACCCCGCTTCCGGTCCAGATTCTTGTCTTCCTGACATCCATTCTGAGGGGAACTTGTGCCACCATCCCTCCCTTTATGCTTTTGGATATTGGCTGGCCAGTGAAGATGGCAGGGCAGCAGGGACCCATAGCTTAGCGTTAGAGCACTTTGTTTGCATGCGAGAGGTCCCAGATTCAATCCCCAAACACCTCCCGTTAAAAAGATCAGGTAGGCAGCTGATGACGACGACACTTCTGTGCCTGAGATCCTGGAGCTCCACTGCCGACCAGAGTTGGAAATACTGAGCGAGTTCAACTATTTCCCCAACCTGGTAGCTCTCCAGTGGTTGCTGGGAGCCCCACCTCCTGTGAGCCCCCAGCCAGCACAGCCACAGGATCAGGGATGACCAGTGATGTGTTAGTAACTCTATGTGTGTGTTTTGCAGCCTGAGTTTCAAAGGTAGGTTTAGTAGCCCCTTCTAAATAAAGATCCTCCTCACAACGTACTGCGGTATTTGCTTTCTCTAAATAAAAGTTGCCTTGTTGACATCAGGATGGGATTTGAGCACACGGGAAGAGCCCTTTCCAACAGCCATTTGCAGCTTGACAAACATTTTTAATATATATTTATGCAATAACTTCCTTCTGTTTAAAAACAACAAGCACTGTGGAGCCCATCTGCGTTCCCCCCCCCAAGCCCAGCACCGTGACCCATTTTTAAAACAGGTTTTACTCCACCATGCATTTTGTGGGATAGGGTGGGGTGCAGGTTTTTAGGATTTGCAAACAGGGATGAGCCACTTGAAAAGATCAACCTGGTAGCTGTGGAAAGAGGATTTCTTTACAACCTGGGTGAGGAACCTCCCTTGCTTTGCCACCTTTGGAGGGGGCAATCTGTCAGGGGTCAGCTGCTGTCAGTGGGGGGGGGAGGGGGGTCAAGCCAGAGGTGAGTGGAGCCACTTTCCTCCTCCTATTTCCTTACCAGGGGAAGGAGAGTGGCTGGAAGTGAGGAGGAAGAAAAGGGTCCTCCTTTCTTCCACTCTGCAGTTGTAATCTGAAATCTTAGGCTCAGCGCTGCACCCAGAGCTCAGAAACTGCTTGCGCTAATGAAATTCCCTGTCGCAAAATGTGCCTAAAACTATGGGAGTTTCAAACACTGGCTGTGGGGATTAATTTTTTTGGGGGGGGGGGCATGCATGCCACCTTGATCTCTTTGGAGAAAAAGGTGGGATATAAATACAATGCAATCAATGAAATAAACAAATAATAATTTTGTTATGGTGGTTCATGTGCCACCTGGTTACAATCCCTACAACAGCCCTGCGAGGCAAGGCTGTGGAACCTTTATCAGCCCAAGTGCCCCATTTCCTCACTGGCAGTCTTCTTGGGGGGGCGGGGCGGAAACCACATGTCAATAGTGGGCAGGGCTAGGTGCAAATGTGGACAGAGCAATGGATGGCTTTCATCTCTTATCTACTAGGCCAGGGGCCTGCAACCTTTAAGACAAAAAGAGCCACTTGGACCCGTTTCCGAAGAAAAAAAAAACTGGGAGCCGCAAAACTCGTCATTATAAAAATAACTTTTTTGTCACTTTTTTATTATTTCTTTGTTTGACCCCTCAGAATTACTCCCCCTCATAGAAATAAACGTTAAATTAACAAGTTACCTTTTTTTGTGTGTGTGTTCTTCACTCCCCTTCAAAACAGTGACTAGCGTACATGCCCCTTACAATGTAGCGGGCGGGCGGGAAGGTGACGTCGGGACGGTACGTGAGTAACGCACGCACTGCCCCCATGCGACGTCACAGCCAGTACAGCGCCTGCCACAGTGGGGAGTGTCGGGGCGCACAATGCGCCTCCTCCCCTCGCTAGTATCCGCCCCGGAGCAGCGGCAAAGGTGTAAAAGAGCCACATGCGGCTCCGGAGCCTCAGGTTGCAGACCCCTGTACTAGGCCATCCTGAGGCTTCTGCAGCCTCCCTCCCCAAATGCCTCTCTATTCAGGCAAGCAAGAGTCACTTCTCCCAGTTCAAGGACGTATTTCAACTAGGCAAAAGCACTCAAGGAGAGTGGCGAGTGGGCCGTTGATGGGGCACAGAACTGGGGAGAATTCCAGGGGCCACTTAGCAAGGCCTGGAGGGCCACTTCTGCTATAAGGCAAATCCCTATCAGTAATATTCCTCTGTTTCAGAATTAAGCCCGAGAGTCGCTTGCCTTGGACCCACCAGTGGGCCCATAACAGATTTGATCCAAGAACTTCCCCATTCAGAGTTCAGTCCCTTAACCTCTCACTGTGCTGCTGTACCAGCTATCATTGATGCCCTTGCAGAATTCCTTGTTTCATCGAAGCATTGCTAATTATCTGGACCTTGATTCGGACCACATTTATAGTGACATTCCCATCATTCTTCCATCTCTGTTTTCTCTCTCTCTTTTTCTCTCTTTCCCTCCCTCTCTTTCCTTCCACCTTCTTTTGTTCCAGGGAAGACGTGGCCCATCACTCTCGGGTCAGGAATGGGCTTAGGAATGGCTTATTCAAACTGCCAGCATGACTTCCGGTCTCCTTACCTTCTCCACGGGCGGTTTGTCAAGGTGAGTCTGCTTTTGAGAACTCCTCTCTTCGGTCGCATCCACATAATACATTAAAAGACAGTGTTCTCTACTACTAACATGAGTTTGACCAAACTGCAGGAGGCAGTGGAAGACAGGAGTGCCTGGCGTGCTCTGGTCCATGAGGTCACGAAGAGTCGGACACAACTAAATGACTAAACAACAACAAATACCACTTTAACTTCCCCAAAAGATCCTGGGGACTGCAGTTTGTTAACTGCTAACTACGCTTCCCAGAATTCTTTAGGGGAACCATGACAGTTTAGAGTCTCTTAAATGTACTTAAAATGTGACCTTATAGATATTTGCTTGGTCTGGGGTAGGGAGTAATTCCTAAAAGCACAGCAGGCACCTTCTGTGCCAACTTTTAAACGCCTGCTGAAAACCTTTCTATTCTGCCAGGCCTATGCGGGCAAGCAAGAATACCTGTTTCCACAGTGGTTAATTGATGCCCTGTTTTTAACTTCTTTACGTTTTTATTGTATGGTTCTGTGTTTTTATTGCTTTAAACCACTTTGATGTTTTAATGGCTCAGCAGTATATAAATCATAGAATCATATAAATATTTTTATAATTAAATATTAAACTCAGGGGAAAGCGGGTAGCCTTCCAGATTTTTCCCCCCTTTTCAATTTAACAACCAGTGCAGTTGAGAGTATGAGGTTTGTGGGTCTAGCAGACGGCCGTCTTAAAAAAGGGCCATGGGACACTGTTGTTTTTGAAAACAAACGGATGTCTTGCAGCAAAGGTTTTCACATTCTGGAGTCGAATGCTCTGCACATTTGGCAGAAATGCACACGGCTCTTTGGGGTGGGGTGATTGTAACCAGTGGAACCAAATGGTCACGAAAATTAAGAGAGTAGAAGTCTGTGACAATTATACATAAAGTTTAAAAGAGTGCTAGGCGGTCAATGTGATCGTTTGCAACACCAATAATTGGGGGATAAATTTCACGCCTGTAGTGGGTGAGGAAACCCTGGTCTTTATTTGAGCCCTCAACTAGAACTATGAAAGTTGTGGATTGGGGAGTTGCATCCAGTGCTAGCCCTACTCAGAACCGACCCACTGAAGTTAATGGGCAGACCTGATTTAGGTTCATTCATTTCAGTGAACTTAGTTGGATACAACCCAGTTTCTGATTCAGCCAGTTTCCCACGGTGCAGCAAGAAACCCTGGTCTTGGTTGAGCCCCAGCATGTAAGATCTAGTTCAGCCACTTTTCTTTGGCAAGGGGGCTCTGAAGTGCTGTCTCTTCTGATATAAGTCTGGAAATGTAACCAGAGTACAGCTATGGGGCTTGGTTGCAAGAGCTTCCTGGCCTACTCAGCCAAGAGTGGGGTTTTCCCTCCACACTCTTGTTGATTTACCAAACCCCCTTTCCCTTTGCTTCTCTCTTTCCTCATCCTCTTAGCCAAACCACCCTTGAGCCAACTTAGCCTCTTTCTTGCTTGCAGGTTTCCTGCCACCTAATTCTCCCTTGAATTTTCTTTGGCAATTGCTTCCCCTCCCTCCCTCCCTCCCTCTTGGAAATTGGCAAGCTTCGTGCTTGCCTGCCTTTTTTTTTTTTTGCTAGAACCCCAAGATTTACCAACCAGAGCCTGGTGCAAAAGTCTTATTGTTAGAATTGAAGAGCATTTTCGTCTAGCATCCTTTTCTCTCAGTGACCAGTCGAATACCTCTGGGAAGCCTGCAATCAGGATCTGAATGCAACAGCAACTCTCCCCACTTGTGTTTCCCATCAACTGATATTTAGAAGCATTGCTGCCTTCGATTGCAGATTTACCCAGAGATCTGCCGGTTGATCCTAAGCTACATTCTGCCCACCTCTCAGTCCAGGCCTCAATTGTCTGGCCTTGCACACCGTCAGTGCTAATTAGTTTGATGACTTAACTCCAAGCAAGCGTTGGTTGTGGCTTTTTTCCAGATGGGAGAAGAAGTTGCTAATTCCAATTTGATGACTGGTATAGGTGGAGTGGTGTGGGGGGAGAGACCAATCTAGCAGCCTCACCGTTCCCCCCCCCCCGGAAGAATTGAGGCCTCCAGACCACTCAACTGTCCACATCAAAACTGCGTCATGCTTCCTACAATCTTGCGAAACGGCCGTATAAAGTTTATAACAGACTCTATTCGTGGTTTCCCTTCCTCCCACAAACGCACAAAACCTCTCTTATGGAGGAGCAAATCGCAGAACAGCCTCAGGCATGAATAAGCCCTCTAGTATGGCAAGTTGTGACTCTGTGCACTCAACTCTACGTCGCTTAATGTTGGGGCTTGGTGCACTTTTTTGGGGGGGTATTGTTTTATGTAAAAAATAGAATTACAATTCATTACTGCAGGTATAACCAATGCAAATGGAGAGCTAAACAATAGAAATTCATTATTCCCTCCATCACCCTCCCACAGACGACCTAATACAAACACTCTTGATCTTCAGATATTATATTCACTGTTTAGAGAGTCTGTTACATTCCATAAAACCTATTGCTTTCTTTAAAAAATAATTACTGTCTATATGGGAGCAGAAGGAAGGAGTTGATAAGGATCGTTGTTGTTGTTGTTTAGTCGTTTAGTCGTGTCCGACTCTTCGTGACCCCATGGACCAGAGCACGCCAGGCACCTCTGTCCTCCACTACCTCCCACAGTTTGGTCAAACTCATGCTGGTAACCTCGAAAACACTATCCAACAATTCTATGCTTTTGTGTCGCACACACACAAACATATATTAGCACTTCTTTTTCTTCAAATTGTGGGGGAGCAGGGAGAAAAAATGTATTCTTTTGCTCTTATCATAGAATCGTAGAGTTGGGAGGGGCCATGAGGGTCATCTAGTCCAACCCCCTGCCCGATGTGAGGGTCGAACCCACGACTCTGAGGTTAAGAGTCTCATGCTCTACTGAAATGCCACCAGGCATTTGGCTCTGTAGGCTTTTGAGTGTCTTTTTGCAAAGGCAGCAGTAGCACAACAGCACCTTTCCTTAAAGCTGAGACTTCCTGGATGCAGGGATCCATTTCCCCTTATGTGCTTGGAGACCAGGGAGTCCTCATGTCAGGGATCTAAGGGGAGGGGGATAGCTGTGGTCACAAGAGACTAGGGCCCTGCGGGACTTGACATCTTTCCGCAGGGCCTGCAAGAAAGAGCTGTTCCGCCTGGCCATTGGTTTGGACTCAGTCTGACCCTTATGTTTCCCTCCCCTTATGGTTTTGATCTATGGGCTAGTATTAAAATGAGGCTGCATTTTAAATTGTATTTTTAACCTGTATTTTAAATTGGTTTCCCCCCCCTTATGTTTTTATTGTAATTTTATTGGTGTTAGCCGCCCTGAGCCCGGCTTTGGCCAGGGAGGGCGGGGTATAAATAAAAATTTATTATTAATATTTATTATGGAGCGGGAGATCCTCTCATATAAAGGTAACTCTTGGATGGCTGTGAGAGAGGATAGGACAAATCCATGGGGAGGAGAGGGCTGTCAATGGCTATTAGCCACAATGGCTATGCGCTGCCTCCACTATCGGAGGCAGCACTGTTGCTGGAAACCAGAGATGGGGAGAGGGCTCTTGTGCTCAGGGTCTGCTTGTGGGTTTCCCACTGAAGTGTCTGGGTGGCTGCTGTGCCATTGGCCTGGTCCAGCAGGCTCTTAATGTTCCTCTGTTAAAGTTCTGCAGCAGGAACAGACCTGCAACCCTAAGGCCAAATGAGTAACCGCAAGCCGTTTTTTCCCCTTCCACCAGGAGCAATGACGCAGGCCCGACCCACGCCTCTCTTTTGCCAGAGGATCAGCGGCACCTTGGCAATTTCTTGGGAAGGTCGAAGCGTCCCGGCCTTGAGGCAACGGCCTTTGGAAGCGCTCGGCCCGTTGCTCTTTTTTCCCCACGACACCTGGAACCGAATATCGTGTTTTTTGTTTTTTTTTTTAATCCCTCTTTTGGAAACAAAAACGGGGAAGGTGCTGTTCTGGAAAGTGAAATAAAAACGAGAGTCCACCCCCTTGCCTCCTTCTCCGTCTGCTGTGTGTAGAAAGGGAATGTGTGGGACGGCTTATTTTTCCGTTTGAACTAGCAGCTGTGGCCACCTGGTTAAGTTCCTCTTTGAAAGGCACCCCCACCCCGTGACAGCTGTCCTCTGTTCCTCTCCCACTTGCAATCAGCCCCTGCTGAAGTTTACAGTTTGCGTTTAAAGAAAAGCAGCCCCACCCCATAGATCACCCTCTTTATCTCTGCTGTAGTCTGGAGATGTCCTTTAGCAGCAGCGACTGTCTTTAAAGAAAAAAGACCAAAACTCATAAATGAGCAGGCAGATAGAAGAGGATCTGGGGATGGGGTCTAGCTGGAGACATCGGCGTCCTGCCCCAATGGGGAAGGAAGATGGGGGCCTGTAGCTCAGTGTCAGATAACAGGAGGACATGGGATCAGGGCAAACACACTTCTAATCTGGCATCCTGTTCTCCCTCAAGGGGAGCCTGGGAAGCAGGAGCTGAGTTCAAGAGCAGGGCTCTTGTGACTTGTGATTGCAGCAACTGACACATTCAGAGGCTGCTTCCAGTGGCTGGAAGCCGCAGGAGGGGAACGCGCTCTTGTGTTCAAAGCTGGCAGGAGACCCGCAGACAGGCACCATCCGGTTGGGCACTGTGAGGGCAGGATGCCAGACTAGATGGACCATTGGCCTGCTTCCTGCAGAACTCTTCTGATGTTCTGACCCGCTCTGTATGCCAAAGGCACCCGATTTCAGTCTCCGCCATCCAGACAGGGCTGAGATGTAGCTCTGCCAAACCCCGGAGAGTTGCTGCTGCTGCTGCTGCCGCCTGTCAGCATTGACTGTTCCAAGCTAGTTGGGTTGAGGGTCCGACTGCTATGAGGCAGCTTCCTATATTCTTGCGCCTTAAGGGGAGGGCCGTAGCTTAGTAGCAGAGCACCTGCTTGGCATGCAGAAGGTCCCAGGTTCAGTCCCCAGCAGCATCTCCCAAGTAGGGCTGGGAATGTCCTCCATTTGAAACCTTGGAGAGTTGCTGCTGGGTGGGATAGACTAGATGAACCAAGGGCCTGGCTCACTGCAAGGCAGCTTCTTGTTTAAACTAGCCCTTTATTCAGAACCATGAGCACTAGAATATTACTTTGCCTTTAGGAGAATCATAGAATTTCAGAACTGGAACAGACCCCCAGGGGTCATCTAGTCCAACCCCTTGCAATGCAGGAATCTCAGCTAAAGCATCCCTGACAGATGGCCATCCAAGCTCTGCTTAAAAACTTCCAAGGAAGAAGAGTCCACCACCTCTGCTCCGCTGTCCAAACAACTCTTACTGCCAGAAAGTTATTCCTGATGTTTCGTCAGAATCTCCTTTCTTGTAACTCAAAGCCGTGGGTTCAAGTCCTACCCTCCAGAGCGGGAGAAGACAAGCCTGCTCCATCTGTCCTGTGACAGCCCTTGAGATATCGGCTGTCATATCTCCTCTCGGTCTCCTCTTTCCCAGGCTGAACATACCCAGCTCCTTCAACCGTTCCTCATAAGGCCCTTCCAGACCCTTGATCATCTTAGAATCCTAGAATCCTAGAATCATAGAGTTGGAAGAGACCACAAGGGCCATTGAGTCCAACCCCCTGCAAAGCAGGAAACACCATCAGAGCACTCCTGACATATGGTTGTCAAGCCTCTGCTTAAAGACCTCCAAAGAAGGAGACTCCACCACACTCCTTGGCAGCAAATTCCACTGTCGAACAGCTCTTACTGTCAGGAAGTTCTTGGTTGCCCTCCTTTCCAGCTTGCCAATATCCTTAAATTGAGGCGCCCAGAACTGGGCACAGGACGCCAGGTGTGGTCTGACCGAGGCAGAATAGAAGTAGCACAGATCACCTGCAGAGAGAATCTGCTTTCTGTGTAGGATGTCCTCTGCGTCTACGAAAGCCATTTTGGTGGACCTGTCTCGGGAAGGGCCAGTTCTCGTGCTGCTGAGTTGATCATGGCTTGTTAAGAAGGATCATCAGAAGCTTTCCTTGTGCTGAGTCAGATCCTTGGTTCATCAATCTGTCTACACTGACTGGCAGTGGCTCCCCAGGGTTTCAGACGGCGGCAGGGTGGGGTGGCATTCCCAACCCTACAGGGAGATGCCAGGGTTTGAACCCTGGGACCTTCTGCCTGCAGAGTTGGCACTGTGCCACTGAGCCACGGCCTTTCCCCATTCCTTGCATTCCTCAGCAAGCTCCAGAATGCAACTCTGATTCCCTTCCAACGAAGCGCTTGCCCACCTCTCGTTTTCACCATCTGGTAAGCGAAGGAAAGATGGGTGCAAATCCCCTGCAGCAGAGCGAGCGAGCGAGCGAGAGAGAGAGTTGGGGTAAAAATGCAAGCGGAGCCTTTGAGGATCGGACCGGTAGTCCGCCTAGCACAAGAGCCTGCTTCTTCCCCAAGGCGCCCGGCTGGGTGCCTCCCTCCAGGGAATTCCACATTCAGGGCACATAGGCAACAGCTCCACCCTGGCGCCGCTCCCCTCTGTAATCAGCCATTATGATCCCAGTTCAGATCTGGCAGGGGTTAGCAGCGTTCGGGCAGTTTTGTAGCGCCAGTGAACCTGAGTCCCTAATGAGAGATGTCATTCCGTTTCCCTAAGGCTTGGAGGAAATGCTTAGATCTCCTCCTTTGCACCTAACCTAACCACACAGCTACCCAGGGCTGTGAGGTTTGTCTCTGGATTACTACTATGGAGTAGTTGAACATGGGCAGGCGAGCTGAATGATCCCATAGGCTTTGTGGAAAGCCCTGCATCTGGAAAAGCAGCCTGTCATAGAGGAAGAGGGTGCCATGCTAGCTTTCTAGATGCAGGATTCCTCCCCCCCCCCAGAAAAAAAAACATGGAAGAACTCCACCATGCTCATTCCTCTGCCCTGTGTTTTGGATTGGGTCCAGGCCCGCAACAGCTACATGTAAAAATGCTAGATCTGTAACCAGTGTGTGTGTGTGTGTGTGTGTGTGTGTGTGTGGTCGTCTTTAGTGATCACTTGTGGCCGAGTAAGATTGTCTTCCATGAACACGGTCTTAACGGTGTCTCCGTAAGTGACTGTGGAGGCTCAATTCTGGATCCACACGTCCTTCCACAGTGGGGGGACGTAGGTTTCCGGGCGGGAGTTGGTCACGGTGAGTATATGCCAAACATGTAAGAATGAGCTTGCCCCAAACTCAGGCGTTATTTGTTCAGTTTGCTTAGGAGCACCTTGCCTGCGGTGAGCACAGTGCCAAAGGTCTGTTGCGTGGAGGGCTGTTTCTGTTGCCTTTCTTTATCGCCACCGCAGCGTTTTTCCGTCAGATGCTGCCGGCTTTGGAAAACATCCTTTTGGAACGCAAATGGGAGCCAGAGTATCTCCGCATCCCCCCTCCGTTCTCATCTCTGCATGCAACCAGGGCTGTGATGTCGGAACAAAAGCAATTAACGTGCGTGGAAGGCGGAGCGGAGGGCAGCACTCTCTTTTTACGGGGCCCAAAGGAATGCCGAGTTTACTAAATAGCTTCATCTGCAAGCAATCAGATTTCTTCTCTCCCAGCAGCCCCTTTGTTTTTTAAGCAGACTGATAGCACTCCTTCTCCACCCCCCTGGCCTTTAAAGCAGAGCGCACAAATTTGACCTCGGAAGATGTGCTTTAATTGACAGCAATCAAATTATTATTTTTTAAAAACAGTTTTGGGGTGGGGTGTGTGTCTAGTTTTAAATGCATTTTGGTCATGGATCAATGCAAAAGAAATAAGGGCATGAGCTTTCATTGGGCAATGTATTTGTTGGTAGGCTTCAGATGAGCCTGCTGGGTCACAGAAAAAAGGCCCATCTATTTCAGTATCCTAGGGACGCGGGTGGCCCTGTGGGTTAAACCACAGAGCCTAAGACTTGCCAATCAGAAGGTCGGCGGTTTGAATCCCCGCGACGGGGTGAGCTCCCGTTGCCGGGCCCAGCTCCTGCCAACCTAGCAGTTCGAAAGCACCTCAAAGTGCAAGTAGATAAATAGGTACCACTCTGGCGGGAAGGTAAACGGCATTTCCGTGTGCTGCTCTGGTTCGCCAGAAGCGGCTTAGTCATGCTGGCCACATGACCCGGAAGCTGTACGCCGGCTCCCTCGGCCAATAAAGCGAGATGAGCGCCGCAACCCCAGAGTCGGCCACGATTGAACCTACTGGTCAGGGGTCCCTTTACCTAGTTCAGCATCCTAATCTCACAGTGGCCAACCAGATGCCTCAATAGGTCTGAATGCAACAGCGCACTGCCCACCTGAAGTGCTCTGCCACCCTGCAGTTCCCAGAAACGGGCATTCAGAGGCCTCTGACAGTGAAGGCAGAACATACATCATTTTCGATAATAGCCGCTGATAACCTTAAATTGCCTAATCCTCTTTTAAAGCCATCCAATTGGTGGTCACCACTGTCTCCTGAGGCAGTGAGTACCCTAGTTTAATTATGTTCTGTGTGAAGGACTTCCCTTTATCTATCTGTCCATGGAGGCGCAGGTCAATTCTGTATCCAGGGCAGCTGTTTATCAGCTCCATCTGTTACGCAGGCTGAGACTCTACCTGCCTGCGGACTGTCTCGCCCGAGTGGTGCATGCTCTGGTTATCTCCCGCTTGGACTACTGCAATGCGCTCTACGTGGGGGCTACCTTTGAAGGGGACCCGGAAACTGCAATTAATCCAGAATGCAGCAGCTAGACTGGTGACTGGGAGCAGCTCCCGAGACCATGTAGTCTTGAAAGAACTACATTGGCTCCCAGTATGTTTCTGAGCACAATTCAAAGTGTTGGTGTTGACCTTTAAAGCCCTAAACAGCCTCGGCCCAGTATACCTGAAGGAGCGTCTCCTCCCCCATCGTTCTGCCCGGACACTGAGGTCCAGCGCTGAGGACCTTCTGGCGGTTCCCTCCCTGCGAGAAGCAAAGCTACAGGGAATCAGGCAGAGGGCCTTCTCGGTGGTGGCACCCGCCCTGTGGAACGCCCTCCCATCAGATGTCAAAGAGATAAATAAC